GCTGAGAGCAAGGAGTTTACAGTTGGCAAGGTCTTTTCCAGCCACGATGATTCTGTGACTTTATATCAGGGTGAACTTTAGCAGACACCTTGCTTGGCATGATATTGTCCCCCTAGAACTCTTTCAAGAAGCCGACCTGCCTTTCATTCATTTTGCTGGGTTTTGTACCCAAGTAGCAAATGGATCCCCCTTGCCTCCTGCCCAGTGACAGTCCAGTCTCAGCTCAGGAAGATTAGTCACTCCAAAGTCTGTTCCTACTGCTTTACCCTAACTAGTTCACAATGAATGAAAGCAAGTGATGCAGTTTCAGGTTGGCAGGTTTTAGACCAAATCACATAAGGCTCTGTCTGGAGAAGCTGGTTGTTCTCCCTTCCAACACACCAAACATGAGTCTTGCAGGAAGCCAATCACACCTTGTGCAGCATTTCATGATATGGAGATCCCAGGGAGCCCATCACCAAGCAGGGACGAGCACAGCTGCCTGGGCCATGACGTTACCTGCTGATGGGGCAGAGCCAAGCTGTTCTACAGAGCTGTCCTCCAGGTCCAGTCCGGCTGGCAAAAGAGGAGGGGGGAATGTTTCCCATGTCTTGCCTTTCTCTGAGAGATAAAGTTGTGCCTCTCCTCTCTCTTGCAGGTTTCGTGTCCACTGCCATCGAATCGTTAATGATAACATTTTCACCAACCTGATCCTATTTTTCATCTTGCTCAGCAGCATCTCCTTGGCAGCTGAGGACCCTGTCCGACACCTCTCCTTTAGGAACCAAGTATGCTTCCCAGTCTCCTTCCCTTGCAGTGTGTTAAGAGTGTGGTATAAGTAGATCATGAGCCAAAGCCAGGAAAGGCAGAAAAGGCTGCATCAGAGGCTTCTGGAGTGATTTTCTGTCCTGACTTGAGCCTTTTGTAGGCTTTGTGAATGTGAAATCACTGGGCTTTGCAGGGCATGTGAGTCAGGGCAGAATTTGGCCCAAAGTTCATTTCATAAATATCTGCTGGGAAAGAAAGGACAAGAGGTTGAAGCAGAATTATTGTTTCTTGGGATATGAAGTGTTGGAGATGGTATGTAGAAGCACTGGTTGGGGTTCAGATCATTCTAATTCTTGTGATTTGCAAGTTCCCTTTGGAACATCTGCTCTCCTGCCACATGCTTCCTTTACAGCTGAAAAACCTGGGACTCAATTCTTTATTTGCACTACTATAAATCAGGAGTAACATTCCTGAGTGTGGCGCAGTCACTCTGGGGCAGATCAGTGTCATTAAGGTTAGAATCAGACTGTTGGAACACAAGCTGCAAAGTAATTTGAGGTAATACTCAGAAAATATGCCATGCTTCTCTCCTGGCCAGGCTGGGACAGGGAGAAGAAGGCATTCAGCTCAGAGATGTAATCTCTCCTTTTCTGGCCGTTCCTATTAGCCTTTGGAAAAGTTCTGTGGTCTTCTAAGTTAGCCAGTTGTTGTTTCCATTAATCTGGGATCACTGTAGAAATAAGAAGTGTCAGCAGTCATATGTGACACTTCTGATCTCTGCTGTCTGCAGTGACATTTTGGCATCTTTCTGCTTGAATGCTGAAATAGCTTACTAGACCAGTGGGCCAAATTATTTATTGTTTAATATTAAAACCTTAATTGCAAGCTCAGTGTTCTGCCTGCTCTGAAATATCCTGGCCCATATATGCATATGCAGAGAAGGTGGTAGTGGAGGTTTATCTCAGAGCTGCTTTTCATTTTATCCTGAAACACGATGCTAAATAATACAGTGAAACCTGCGCCACCAGTGACCTGCCTGGGCATAGCTGAGCATGTCTACCATGTAGAGCTAAATGTATGTCAATCTTGGCATTGGAGAATGAATCTTAGCCGGCATACGGGCTTTTGACATGCCACAGAAACTGTTGAAGAATAGAGTGCAGAGAGATTTAAATGAGAAAAAAAAAACAGAGCTATTTGTCCTGGATAAAGTGCTGGAACTTTGGGTATAGGTGTTGTTTTGACTATTTAATTCCACTGATGCATGAAAATCTGTGTTTAATTTTTGCAGGTACAGATGTGTAAAATGTATCAAACAAGGGGACACTGACAAGATGTTTGGGTTGCAAATGTGATCTGCCTTTACGCCTTGACAGTAGAACCCTAAGATTGTGTCCTGCCCTGGGGCCACTCAGAGGGCTGGGAGGGAAGGAAATAAAGGTGAAAGCAAACCAACTGCCCCTGACTTTGTTCTGGGACAACATTGAGCATTAACCTGTTCACGTGGGCTTTTGCAGACTAGTTTCTGCTGTTAATAAAAGCTGTCCCAGAGCAGGAAGGCAAAAATTGAGAAATCCTTCTCCAGCAAGGGCTAGCAAGGAGCTTTGGAAAGAAGCAGTGTTCGTTCCTGGGGTGGGCTAGTAGATGCATCTTTCCTGTGTTGTACAGAGCTCAGCCAGCAGGTCTTTGGAAGTGTCTCTCCAATTCAATCAAGCAGCTTCAAAAGCCAGCCAAAACAAAAATTGTATATACTCATGATCTTTTCCTGTTTACATTCTGGCCAGTTGCTCTTTCATTTTCACTTATTCTGAACTAAATACTTATTTAGATGATAATAAATGTGCCTGCTGATAAACAATATTGCCAGAACAGGTGATCTGTGGTCTTTTCCAGTGTGCATGATTTCATCTAAACAGAAGATCTTTACTAGCTGTAGCTTTGGGGCCACATTCACCAGGATGGTCTAGATGCTTTGCTATGCTGTGGTGATGTAAAACAGCTGCAGACTCATCTTAATCATCAATTTTAATCAAGTTTATGGCTGCTTTATGTCAGTGGAGTGATGCAAAACAGTCTGAGAGTATCCAAGAATTTGACCCAGTGGTTACAAATGTCAAGACCTAGACATTTCCACGGAGACATTTCCAGTTAATAATGTGTGGAAATTAATATCGGATGCAACTGAGGCCAGTCTGTTCTTGAAATGGCCTTTTTTAATTCTCTAAATTGCAAAAATTTATAGAGCCCAAACTAACCTTAAAGAGTGAGAGAAACTTCCACAGAAGTCAAAAATTGAGCAGTGACCTGAGGAATTTTAAGTTACACAGTCACAGTAAGTGATACATGTCCCTATTTGATCTTCAGTGAGTACAAATTAGGATGGATTTGGGTCATGCTTAAATGGTACAATCTAAAATGGCACTACAGTTTGTAATAGCTACCATTGCCCATGCCATAACAATCCGTAGGAATCCAGCTACTCTTTGTAAACCTGTAAGTTTGGATTAGGAGAAGAGCCTCCAGATGCAGTAAAGACCTGTGGAATGCATAACATCTTCCTGGTAGTAAAGGATAGTTTATTGCTGTATGTTTATTAGTATTTTAACTATAAAGGCTTAAATTTGACAAATGATCAGGTTTCTTCTGCTTCTATATAGTGATTATTCAGTTTATAACTTAGTTAAGCTAAGAGAATAGTAATCCAATGGAACAATACTTCTGATTTTCACTGTCTGCAGTGTAGGTAAAACAAAAGGGTTTGGGATAGGAATATACTGGATGGGGAGAAGGGGAAGAGTCTAATTCTGGTCCCATTAATCAGCAGTAAAATTCCTATTTGCTTCTGCAGGGGTGTAAATTGGTCTACAGTAAAAAATATCTCTGTCCTTAAGGCTGCTACTTGGAAAGTCAAGCTACACTTCCAGACCCGCTGTTGCCTTCTGTGGCCATATTTTGTGGCCTGCTGTATATAACTCTTACAAGTCCACTCTGGAGTCTTTAGTTCATGGAACTATTGAGTTTTTCAGCTTACCTATTCCCCAGAATGTCAATGGAAAGATGCCAAATCTAAGCTGGTCATCTCTAGTGGATGAATGTAAACTTTAGTCCAAGACAAAAGTGGTGATTCTGTCAACTGGCAGAGTGCATATATTTGTTATTCATCCTAATTCAGGGCAAGTCAGGATAGAGACAAAAATAAATAAATAAAGAGAGCTAGAGCAGGCCCTGTGCATCGATTTTCAGTTTGTTTGTTTTGGTTTTTTTTACTTTGCAAAAGTCACAAAACAAGCCTGAAATTAATAAAAAGGAATTGCATGTTTTCCACAGAGAAACTAGGCATTCTTCTATTCTCAATTTGAAAGTTTATTTGGGAAAACCCTTGAATTGTCTGTTCTTTATCAGATACAAATAATACAAAAAAAATGAGAGAAAAAAGTCCTACAACAACCAAAGACTTGTTTTGCCCCTAAAACCCTTAGGAGATTGTAACTCAGAAAAGATTATCATTTAATGTGCTTCTTGTCTCCTGTGTCAAGACTT